CACACACACACACACACACACACACACACAGTCAATGGGGTAAGCTGTGCACTTTTACTTACATTGTCCTTTAGGACAGAAGAAATGAGGTAAAACCCAAACTCTAAATCTGTTTCAGGACGTCTGCTCTCCACTGAAGGTGTCTGTAACTAAAGGAACACAGAGATGAAGATGATACACGATAAAACGAACCCAAGCATCTCTTATCCTGCAGCATGTGACAAATAAAACTCTTTACAGTTTTCTAGAAGGCTGCGTGACACAGTTTACCCCGCTCTCCCCGTCTGGTCTGTGATCTCTAATGTATGTTTTCAGGATCTTCCAGCAGGTGATGGATCTGCGTGTGACGGGGCGTCCGGACAGCAGCACGCTGGTCATGATGAGAGCCGCCCGCTGCGGCCTGAGCGACCCCTTCAGCCGCCTGCTGAAATACCGCATTCTGGGTGAGTCACGCAAACACACCTCAGCGCAGGTCAGTCTGTACTGATTAACTGCCCGTTCTGATTAAAAATTAAGCACTGTATCGAAAACCAAGCGTAGCATCAGTCCACTCTTTTGACCATTTCAGTTCTGCTTCAGCAGCTTTCTCAGGAGAACATTGCCTTGATTTATCTCATTGCATTTATTTAAGAATATATATCCTTAAATCTTATCCATGCAAGGCTTGTTCTATCCCAGAACAGAAGTATACTGTTAACCCTAACTGTCAGTCTGAGCGAGTGCGTGCGCTGCAGGTCAGTGGCGTAAGAAGAGACTGACGTTCCGCATCTATAACCATCCGCCGGCTCTGGGTTTGTCTGGGACGCGAGCGGCGGTTCGCGCGGCCTTCGGTTACTGGAGCGCCGTCAGCCCTCTTCACTTCCAGGAGGTCAGCGGAGGTCACGCCGACATCAAACTGTCCTTCCACAGGAGAGCCCAGGGCTGCCGTGTCGCGTTCGACGGACCCGGTGAGACCGCGCTTCCCTTTATACTAAACATGATATTCCAGTAAACATCAGAGCTGAGTGTCTGAAATGACTCCTCTAGGCATTTGTATGTAATTTAGTTTTTAGAAATACATCTCATCTTTTGAGTATGAAAGCTATGGAAGCCCGTTTCCGCCACTGAATTAAAAAAAATAAAAATAAAAAGGTAATTGCTACTTTTTATCTGAAATGTGAAAAAAAAGTCAGAATTGAATCGCGAGATGAAAACTCGCAATTCTGACTTTTTTTTCTCGCAATTCTGACTTTTTTGCGAGTTTATATTTCCAAAGTCTGACTTTATTTCTCATAATTGCGAGTTTATATCATGCAATTCTAAGACAAAAGTCAGAATATCGAGAAAAAGAAGTTAAAAAAAGAATTGTGAGATAAAAGTCACAACTACATTTTTTTCTTTTTTATTCTTTGGCAGAAGCGGGCTTGAGGAATATGTGCTCTGAATATCAGGAAATTTAATGTCAAAATGTGTGTGTTTGCAAAACGTTTGCGCTAATGCGTATCTGTCGTTTGAAAGTTCCCCGAGTTTCAGTCACTCTCAGGGTTCGTGCTAGTTTTACAAAGCTCAGTTTAAGACTTTTTAAAAACTGCTTAAAAACCAATTAAAGAAAATTTAAGGATAAATTAAAGGGAACAATATGTCAATACAACTTCCTTCCAACATATCTACAATATCTACATATCTACTAATTAATTTTACACATAAAAAATAGCATAAAAAGAATATGGAAATTTTTATTTATTTATTTATTGTACCTTCTGATCACACTGCAATAAAGTGCTGTTCTTCATCAGTATATATATATATATATATATATATATACTGATGAAAAAAATATATATATAATTTTTTTTTTCCAGTGCAAATGTCTAAAAATTCTTAAATCAAAATGACATGAGGAGCGACAGATATTTGTCATTGTTTTAATCATAAACTCACTTCATTTTGTTCAGTTTCTCAGAAAACAAGACTTCATATTTTCATTCTGCATCTCCAGAAAAAGTATCACCTTTATTTCTATAACACTTTATAAAATACAGATTGTGCAGCTTTACAGTGTTAAACAGGAAAATGGTGTGTCAATAATGCAAGAGGACAATAGAAAACTGAGAAACCAGGCTCAGGGGGCCAGTTCTCCTCTGGCCAGACGAAACAGCATGATGTGGTTTAATTCCAGGCTGCAGCACAGGTCAGATTGAAGATTTAAGGATGCTTAGATATGTGTACTGGAAAACAAGACAAAAATACTGAGGAAGAGATTCATTTATCAGAATCAGAATGAGCTTTATTGCCAGGTATGTTTACACATACGAGGAATTTGTTTTCGTGACAGAAGCTTCCACAGTGTAACAGAATGACAGTGACAGAACAAAAAACACAGATAATAAAAAATAAAAATAAATAAAAAATAAAAAATAGAACAAGTAAAATAAGGAATAAAAAATATACAAATCGACAATCGACAATTGTATGTCCAGGTATAGAACAATAGACAGTTGTATGTACAGGTATATTATATTATGTGCAAATTGAAATGTTTATTGCCGTTCATGCAACATTTAATGCCACGACTTCATGAATTTAAGACTTTCTGCTCCGATTTATGAACTTTTAAAGACCTTAATTTGTGGAAGGATGACTTGAGACTTTTTAAGACCTTTTTAAGGCCTGCAGAAACCCGGCTTAATCCACTCTCTGGTCCAGGGCAGGTTTTGGGACATGCCGAAGGCCCCGAGTCCGGCACAGTTCACTTCGATGCAGATGAGGTTTGGACGGAGGGGCGGAGTTACGGAGCAAACCTGCGCATCGTGGCGGCCCATGAGATAGGCCACGCCCTCGGATTAGGCCACTCCCAGTACCACAGTGCGCTCATGGGCCCCGTGTTCACGGGATACCGCCACAACTTCAGACTGCACCACGACGACATCCGCGGCATACAGGCTCTGTACGGTAAGAACATGCAGTCGCGTTTACATTGTATCCAGTGACTGAGGTTTAACCGATATCAGCTCTCTCAGGAAAGCCTGTGGAAAAACCATCCACCGCTCCGAGAAAGCCAGATCGGGAGACGTCTGTGCCGGACCCCTGCGCCGGGGGACTGGACGCCCTCATGCTGGGTAACAGTACAGCTGATCTCTGATCAGTCCAACACTTGATATGGTCATCAGCCTCATGTCCTTGTGCTTTGTCTTCTCAGGGCCTCTTCACAAGACGCTTGCTTTCAGAGGTCATTACGTGTGGACGCTCTCAGATTCAGGTTATAACAGTCCCGTTCCCATTAATGCCCTGTGGAAAGAACTGCCCGGCAACATCAATGCAGCCGTTCACTCGCAAAGAACCAACAAATCCTATTTTCTTAAAGGTGAACCGAAACTTAACACAGTGTTGAATTCAAATAGATACAGGAACATTACGATTGGAAACATGATGATTTTCACATTTTTTAAATAAGTCAGTTCAAGTCACCTCTATAGTGTGTCAATAATGCAAGAGGACAACAGAAAACAGTCAGTTCATTGATGATTCAGTGATGTCATCATCCAGTTCAGCTCTCAATAGTGTCTGTGCAATCAGTCACGCGTCCCCAGCTAAGCAAGCCAAAGGAACCGAAACTCCATCAGTGACAGAATGGAGAAAAAGCTTTGGGAGAAACCAGGCTCAGTCGGGGGCCAGTTCTCCTCTGACAGACGATAACGAACTAAAACTCTTTGTGAATGACAAAAACTATGACGAATATTTATTGACATTTAAAAATAAGATAAATAAAATAAAAATGGGACAAAAATGTTAGGGAGGGACGATTTGGTAAGAGTTTCATTCAGAACGAATCTGCTGCGTGGTTCTGAGGTTAGATGCGTACATATGAACCGGCGGGACATAAGCTAACATACACTTGCTGCACGTCGCATAAAACGTTCAAAAATGTCAATATGTGGGAGTAAGAGAAGAGCAGACATATGGATAAATCTGACGACACAAGAGAGAACTCAATTCGGTCCGGTTTTCTGAGCGCAGACACTGAAGCACACACACACAGAAAGCGCCTCTCACAGCGCGCGAGTACTCTTTCGCGTAGCATGAACGGAGAATTACACACAAAATGATGTCAAAGTGTCCGTTTTGACGAATATTCGCGTAAACACAGTTGATTACGTCTTAAGTGAACGTAAACAGCAGCGAGAACGTGTATCAGTGCATTGCATCCATTGCAGCTGTGCATTCAGTTTTAAAGGGACAGCAGCCTAATTTAGTTGCTATTGGCAGAACAACCACCCAATAAAGCATTACAATAATCTAACCTTGAGGTCATAAACGCATGGATTAACATTTCTGCATTTGACATTGAGAGAATAGGTCGTAATTTAGATATATATTTTTAAGTCTCTTCTGCTCACCAAAGCTGCATTTAATTGATAAAAAATACAATATATATTGTATAACATACTGTATATTACAATATATTCTAATTATTGTGATCAACATTTCTGATTATTATCAATATTATCAATACTCAATATTTTTGTGGAAACCGTAATACACTTCCATTCAAAGTTTTGGGGTATGTGCGCAAGTGCTTTTAAATAAATGAACACTTTTATTCATCAAGGACGCATTAAACTGATCAAAAGTGACAGTAAAGACATTTATAATGTTACAAAAGATTCAAATTTTCAAAATAATAATAATAATAATAATAAAGTTTCAAATAAATGCTGTTCTTCTGAACTTTCTGTTCATCTGTGAATCCTGAAAAATAAAATGCATCAGTTTCCACAAAAATATTGTGCAGCACAACTGTGTTCAACATTGATAATAATCAGAAATGTTTCTTAAGCAGCAAATCAGCATATTAGAATGATTTCTGAAGATCATGTGACACTGAAGACTGGAGTAATGATGCTGAAAATACAGCTGCGCATCACAGAAATACATTACAGTTTAACACATATTCACTTAGAAAACAGCTGTTTTAAACTTCAATATTTCAAATTTTTACTGTATTTTTGATCAAATAAATGCAGCTCCGATGAGCATGAGACTTCTTTCAGAAACCTTTAAAAATCATAATGTTTCCAAACTTTTGACAAGTACTGTATCTGTTGAAACTGACCTAGAAAGTGTCTATTAGCAACACTATTTGAACAGACACTGCTGTAATTGCAATATGGAGTTATTAATGGTAATCCTCTGTTACCTGGTTTCCACAGGAGATAAAGTCTGGAGATATTCCGGCTTTAAACTGGACCAGGGCTACCCGAAACGCCTCAGCATCCCCTCCAACATCCAGGCCGCGTTCTTCCTCAAGCGCCGCCGCGCGCTCGTCTTCATCCGGGTGAGAATCTGCGGGAGATTGTTCTGCTCGAGCTGAGTGTGATTGTGTGTCTGTTCCGCAGGGATCAGAATACTGGCTCTGGGATGAACTGGGATCAGCTAAACACCTCCGGCTCATCTCCGCTCTGCCCTCGGATCCGGACGCTGCGTTCACGGGGAGCGACGGACGCGTCTATGTGTTCCGCGACGCGCGGCAGTGGCGCGTGAGTCCCGCGCTGACGCTCGAGGAGAGTTATCCGCTCCGCTCCAGACAGCGATGGATGCACTGCGACCATTAACCTTCATCATGGGTTATATTCAGCATGTCATACATCAAACAGGACATCATCTATAGTTGAGATATCGGACAAATTACCAGTCATTGTCAGCAGTTTATTAGTCATCTGTTTTTCTCTCTGATGTATACAGGAGCACATATATACTGTATATGTATATATACACTTATGCATGACTCTAGTAACTGATGTATTAGACGCACACAAGCTTTTAAATCACTTTTGATTCATTTTTAATTATTCAAATGAGTAATAATAAAAAGGATTGAAACGAAAGTCACTGTTGTAAGTGATAGTGTCTTTACACGACAGTTAGGGCTAGTAAATGTATTAACTGGAGGAAATAAGATCATTTTCAGAGATGCAGAGATAAACGCATCTAATAACGCATTTAAAGGAATAGTCTTTCATTCTGCATGAACGCTAACAGAGAATAATGCATTAGTTCATTACGTGGAACTAATTTTTGTACAATGAAAATAAGCTGTGAAGTTTAGAGAGGAAAACAGAGCACAGAATAAAAACACCTGTTTGTCATTACAGAAATAATCATTTCAAATGACAGCAAAGACGCTTTAAATGTACAAAGATGCTGAAACACCAACAGTAGAGTGAATAACGCAAGCCTGGTTTAGTGCCCTCAGCAGGGAACATCATGAAGTTCCAGCACACTGACACACACTCCTGCTGTACTTCATCAAATCCAACCTTCAGACATGTGCCAATGCATTTTCATGAATCATTTCCAGAATCTTTTATTCTTTCCATGGATGCCTGGATTGTGTCTCATCTTTTTTTGCTGTGAAACTACGTTTCAAAGTCATCCTGGGCTAATCTGCTGTCTGTCATCTACAGAGCGTCCTGATAAACTCAATCAGATGTCTCTGACACACTAACCCCGAGGTTCTGGATTCAGTCCTGGGGTCTCTCTTATCTTAGATAACCAGCTGATGATCTCAATCAGGCATTAAATAAAGGAGACGGAGCCGTGGGTCCCCAGGAGCAGAACTGAAAGCCTGACTCAATGAAACTTACTGACCACCAGCAGAACATGAATCACACAAATCAACAAAATACTCACTGATCAAAATTCAGCAAGTTATGTTCATTTGTGAAATTTGATATATAACAGGGTTTCTGCAGGTTTTATGGAGATAAATTTAGGGAAAAGTTTTGAAGTGAAGAAAATAAATTTAACAGAAGTCAGTATGTTAGTAAGGTCTCTAAATGCAACGCTTCAAAGTTTGAAAATATAACTTCTAACAGATCTCCATTACTTTATAATTCATTTTTGCAAAAGAAAAAAAAACAGCTTATGGATTGAATATCTCTACTCACAAACACTAGAATATGGTTATCACTGTTACTGTACCTTCAGATCTCTCGGTGCTTCTTCAGCGTTTCTCTTGTTTTCCAGTGAAAAGATTTTTAAATCAAGATAAATTTGCTGGAGATGCAAAATGACATCCGTCTTGCTTTGTGTGAAACTGATGAAAATGAAGTGAGTTTATGGTCAAAGCGACAAGAAATATCTGCCAACAGAGTCGGAAAAACCCACTTAATTCAAAGTGAAACAGGTTCTCTTGATTTAAGGATGTTTAGATATTTGAACTGAAGAACAAGACAGAAATACTGAGGAAGAGATTCATTTTTAGCAAAGCATGCCACGACTTTATGAACCTAAGACATTCTGCTCTGATTTAAGAGCTTTTTAGGCCTTAGACTCTTTGAACCCTCTCTCAGACCTGCAGAAGCCCTGTATAAGTGCGGTGTCCACATACAGCCGTACCACGCTCTGAGACAAGCTTTAATAAACATCTCAATATAATCAGTGTCTTGTGAATAAGACTGAAGCTATTTGTAAAGTAAGTGTGTTTGCATGCAGCTGAGGTGAACTGCAGACTCAGATCAGCGGAGTAATGATTCCTCTGAGATCACGTGCGATTGCTTCACAGTCTGAGAAGAGCCGACGCTGAGGTTGTGAGAGGCACCAGCGATCCCGTCTCAGAATCAAAGTCGATCATGACGTGATGAACGGAGCTCAAGCTCCAGAGCGAGGAGCCCGTGTGTGTCTGCCGCTCTCGCAGACTCGCCAGATAACTCTGCAGACAGAGAGACAGACAGACAGACAGCAGACGCTGAGATCAGAGTAAAGCAGACGCCGCCTGATGATAAAGACGTGTAACGTGTGCCGGGGCTGTACCGGGGCCAGCACGTCTCCCGTGTAGCGCTGGAGGGCCGGCGGTCTGCGGCCACGCGTCTGTCTGATCCTCGTCAGATCCAGCTGCTTCTGTTCACCCGTCACACACACTGACAGCACACACAGACACAACAGCAGCTCTACAACAGTCCCTTCATCCACCCTAATGCCTTTTTCTTCGCAGGGTTTCTGTAGGCAAACGCAAGACTTTTTAAGATCTTTAAGACCAATTTAATTTAAGGAATAAACACGCCAATATGTTTTCTTAACAATTCAGTTTTGAAAAAAAAAAAACTTCCAACAGATCTCTATTACTTTCTGATTAATTTTACAGAAAAAAAACTCTTATGGTTTGAATATGTCTGCTCACAAACACTAGAATATGGAAATAACCTTTACTGTACTTTCTGATCACACTATAATGTTCTTCCTCCTGTTTTCCAGAGTATTCTTAAATGGAGATACATTCACTGGAGAAACAAAATGACTTTAAGATAAGATAAGAACTAGGGTTGTGACGGGGATGACATTTCCCCGCCGGTTAACTGACGTGTGACAGCACCTTTAAATAGCTTCTAAATGCCCGTGCTTTTGACTGTTCTGCGTCAACTGCTTGAATGAACAAAACAGTACAACGACAAACTCAGTTAAATTAAACAGAACTTTTAAGACAAAAATTACTTAAATGCAACATTTAATGCTACACTGCAAAAAATGCTTTTCTTACTTAGATTTTTTGTCTTGTTTTCAGCCAAAATATCTTAAATCAAGAAGGATTTTCTAGACGAGTACAAATTATTGTCTTGTTCTAAGCAAAAACTCACTTAATTTTGACATGTTTTTTTTCTGAGAACAAGACAATAATTTGTACTTGTCTAGAAAATCCTTCTTGATTTAAGAATTTTTTGATATTTTGGCTGAAAACAAGACAAAAAAATCTAAGCAAGAAAAGCATTTTTTGCTGTACGACTTTATGAATTTAGGACTTTCTGCTCTGATTTAAGAGCTTATAAGAGCTTAATCTGTGGACGGGTGAATGAAGAGTTTTTAAGACCCACAGAAACCCTGCGTTTGTCTGAGTTTATCCTCTTATAGTTTGTGTATGTATTCTGGAAAGCTGTCAAGAACACATGCAGGTCATATTTCACCCCAAAACAAAAACAACTACATTTTTGGCTAGGGATGCAGCGATCTGATACTCAGGATAGTTTAATGTGAGGTTCAGATGAATATTAGAGTCGTTAAACTCTTCTCTCCGCTGCGGCTGTCAGTCATCCTCAATCGAGCGTTCAGTTCAGTTACGAAACTCTCTGCAAGATGATTCAGTGTTGCTATTATAACACTTGAACTGTAGATGTAGAGTTTAGTGCTGTTTCTAAATCCCCTAACTTTCTACCATAAGTCTGTTAGATCACAGCACTGGAGTAGAGAGCACTGGGAACGCTGTTGCTTCAGTAAAGAAGCGTTGTGCTGCTCTGCATTGGAGCCTTTCATGTTATAATACTTCTGCGCAATGAAAGATTATTAATAGCCTTTCTTGTCGTCTTATCTATCATATGCTGCCGCCTCATTATTGCGCTATACATTTAAATGAAATATCTTTTAATGTTATAGCATATATTTATATCTAAATATATTTACTGGTTTTTCATGAATGTATTTTACAACAATACAAAGAGCAATGTGTAACAGTTTACCAGATTTAGTCCTACACTTATTCACTTTTATTTGTTCCCCACTAAATAATGTTTTTTGAATAAAGGTTTAGATTTTATAAAATTATTGTGCACTCATGATTTTTCTAGAGTAACTTCTGCTGCTGAATTACCCACTAACCTAGTTTATAATAGTATTTTTGTCATAGATATGATTATATTTTTTTGTTATTTTTGTGCATAATGAAGTTGTCTATATTTAGTAGATTGTGTTTAACACACAAAACAGTGATGATCAGATCAACGCTCAGAGGTGTAGAAATTCTACACTGATTTAAAAAAAAGCAAAAAAACTGAACCTGTGCTGGTATCGGTATCAGTCAGATCGGATCAGAAAAAAAAGGTATCGGTGCATCCCTGTTTTTGGCAGTACAATGAAAGCTGAAATGAGCTGTATGTTCTCTCTGTCTGTATATAGATGTGTGTTGGGGTGAAATGTGGCCTGTGTGTGTTTTCTGTGGTTTGTTTGTGATGTGAGCCGATACCGTCAGCATGCGCTGTGATTCTGCACTGGACCAGCATCCCCAGTGCTGTGAGTACAGGCCAAATCCCAATCACCGGCCAGCTGTGCCAGCACAAGCCCTGTTGTGTCTTCAGACCCTCAAACGCCCGCAGCACCAGCACAGGCGTCTCCACCCAGTAACCCACACACACCGTGGCCCCCGCGGCCCCGACCGAAGCCGTAGCAGCTACCATCATGGCCTTCCTCCAGCACAGAGTGATGACGGCACAGAAGACACTGGCTCCTACGACCGCGCCGACAGGGGCCCACGGCGGGCTGAGCACGGGGTAATACTGTCCCAGCAGCAGCAGGGCGGCGCCGGAGAGCAGCGCTCCCAGCTGGAGGCCGGTGAGGAAGAGCCCAACGCTGCGCACCAGCACCGCCACGAGCGCCGCCAGCAGACCCACGCCCAGAGAGACGCTCGCCCGCGTCCAGCCGTCCAGCAGACGCTCCTGCACACACAGCAGCTGTCCCACAGCAGCGCCCCACGCCAGGCCCGACACAAACAGCACCGTCTTAAAACAGCGGTAACCTGGAGAGCAGGACCAGAACATGACATCAGTTACAAACCACGATTCACATTCATCACAATCAGCGCTTCACCACACGTCCTTATTTAACTGCACTAATCAGTCACTGCTGTTGACCAATATGTGCCTGATCACAGTGAATATAGCGTGCTGTTGATTATCTTGCATGCAGCTAAGTCTGGGTTTCTGCAGGTTTTATGAAGGTAAATTTAAGGCTTTTTAAAGACCTTTTTAAGAGCAAGTAAAGAAACTTTAAGGACCAAACTGAATCCATCAATAAGGTCTCTAAATGTACACGTCCTGTATTAGCAACACTTCAGAGTTTGAAAATACAACTTCTAACTCCATTACTTTATAATTCATTTCACCAAAAAATAAATAAATAAATGAAAAGAAAATACCCTAACTAGAACACGGAAATAACTTTTACTGTTCCTTCAGATCAAACTGCACAAAACGGATGTATTTCCTCAGTATTTCTGTCTTGTTCTCCAGTGCTAATGTCTAAAGATTCTTAATTCAAGACACATTTACTGGAGACGCAGAATGACTTAAGATGAGAAGTCTTGTTTTATGAGAAATTTATCAAAATGAAAATAGTTTATGTTAAAACAACAAATATCTGCCAATGAGCTCAGAAAAATCAACTTAATTCAAAGGATAAAGAAGCTTTCATTGTCCATTAACAGATATTTATTCATGTTTTAAACATAAAATCAATTTTGTTCAGTTTCTCAGAAAACAAGACTTAATTTCTTCATTTTGCATCATTGATTTAAGTATGTTTACATATTTGTACTGGAAAACAAGACACAAATACTGATGAAGAGATCAGGCCTTCATTTGTGTACAGGAGAATAAAGAGAAACCTTGTAAGTGGTTAGTTGCCAGATATAGCATACTCTACCCATCCATATCAACACGGGAGAGCGGTTTCTCTGGTGTCGCTCAGCAGCTTTTACTCGACCGCAGCAGGTACGACAGTCTGGACCGAGTGCAGTCGGATATTTCTGGATGTCCTTCCTGACTAACAATAGAGCTAAACTTAGAGGAACAAGCACAGATCTGAGGCTGGTCCCGAAATGTGTTTGTTCAGTCCAACAGCGTTCAGCTGAAGGTCCATCTGTTTTTACATTGATGTTTTAAATAGCACTACATTTTACACACTGCCTTATTGTTCTCAGTTTCCTTGTGTAACTGTTATTGAGATAACTATCGTACCAGCTGAAAACATGCTTTTGTGTGAGCCACATTACAGCTGAAGCAGAAAGCAGCGTAAGTCCATGTCGCAACCCTTTATGCACATTTGTATAACACTGATATAATCACTATATTTAATTTCATAGACTTCAGTTTGCACATCGCTTGGAAGACAACGCTGGACATTAAGCTCAAAACGTCTCAAAAGAAGTTTGAAGTTCTAGTTCGTTACCCTGAATTGTAGTTTTTATTCAGTGTACACGAGAACAACTAACTGTACTGAAACATTTAAACGGTAGTATACAATCAAAACTAAACGCAGTAGAAATCATTTCAGCCCTCGTGTGGGTTTTTGTGTTCATGCACTCTACGGTTAGCTTCTCGTGTGGTCGTGTCTCTTTCAGACTCACCGCAGAAACAGTAAATGAGCGCCAGAGCGAAGCAGAGCGAGCAGGTAACAGCCGGTCCCAGCTCATATTCTGTCCTGATGTCCGGAGCGCAGGCCACTCTTGCGGTCTCCGTCTCGTTCGTCATGCTGCTCTCCAACGCTTCCTCACTCACTGCTGCAGGCGAAGTGTGTTTCTAATCCTTACATTTCTCCAAATGTGTTCAAAAGTGCCTGAAACAAAGAGAAAACATTGTTTTAAACAGAAGGCCACACGTGCTCATTACAGGATCTCGTCATACGGTTGTTAATTACTCATGAGTCAGAAGAGGTTCCTACAGTCCTAAACACAACAGAACGATCCCTCTCACACCCAGCAAGCTAAAGATCATAAACAGTGATGGGGAAAATGTTATGTTACCTTTTCTCATCTGAGCTGGGCTTGCTCGTTTGTTTTTAATATAAAAAGTGTTATTTTTGGCAAATGTAAAAGCCCTTTCACACCAAAAGTGAAACGAATAAGCCTGAGGCTGAAGGAAATATAAATTCAATTATCAACATATTTAATTATTGCAGGTTTGTGTCATATTCTGAGTTTGCATCTCACTGTTTTCATTCATTTTTTGAGGAATACTGAATCTGTTTCTGTGCAGTGAGATGAGTACATACATGTGAGTCTAGATCTACAGGAACATGTTCACACAGCGCATCTGCACTCACTCCTGATTCTCTCAACACGAGGACACACAGTAACTGGCGTTACTTATTTGGAAAAGTAACTCAGATCATTTCTTTTCAATTAAACAGTAATGCGTTGCTAGTTACTTGATAAAAGTAATCTGATCACGTAACTTCACTTGTAACGTGTAATCTCAACACTGATCATAAAGATCTGCTCCTGGAGACTAAACTTGCTGTGATATAAACTAATGACACGAACCTTTTACTCCCTCATTTATTTCTATAAAAGAATTTCGTCAACTTTGAAAAATCCTCCTGAACTGAACTGTGTAGAAAACATCAAATCTGTGGCCACTGAGAGATCATGCTAATGTCACAATCTGAATCATATATTTCATAATTGCATCTTTCATGTGCTTTAATTCTAGATACACACCAAATTAGCAGTGCTTTGATGATTTTTGCACTTGCTCAGTTTTCTGCTCAAACTCTGACTAACGAGCAAACTGGATTTAAGTGGGTTTTAATCACAGATTAGTGTCATTTGCTCACTGCGACTGTTTTCATGGCATTTCTTTATGTACTACAGAATTAAGAGCACATTTTATATTGGTTTCAAGAGTTTCGATCTCAATTCTGTAACTTTAGAGCGTCTAACTTAACTAAACGCTTGTCAAATGTAGAAATAGTTTTTTATCATCGACACATTTTAAATGAAGATTAAAAACAATATTTAAAACACTTACTTACCAAAGCAGATCGGATGAACGCGCGTCAATATCCTCATGAGCGAAATCAACACACAACGGTCTTTCCTCGCTTCGCGTCTGTTATGCGCCGTTTTTTGGCTCAAACACTAACGCTTTCTGCTCTCAGACACAGCCAGACTTCAGCCGATTAGTGCGAGTTAACTAGGACGAACACTTCGACACCAGTCGCTCAAAATATAAACTAGGTCAGAATAACTCTACAACGAATAAAACCAAGTCAGTGTCAGTCAGAAGAAATCGCAGAAGAGCTTATCCTAGTGATGTGTCGTTCGCGAAAGAGTCGGCTCTATGAGTCGACTCCTTTAAGTGAACGATGAGAGTCGACTCTCTGCGGTTTTTTTTTTACTTTCTCAACACAAGAGAAAATAATGGGATGATTTTTTTTTTGCCACACTGCTTGTTATCCACACGCACTTCATGTACTTGCATTGATGTGAACAGGATGATTCTCGCTCGCTCAAACACAACAGATTCAACAACACGTTAATAACGAGTCAACTGTGGTGGATGCTTCTGTTTTGCACACTGTAATTGAGTTTTTATCTGTTATATGGCCATATTATATTCTGAGTATGATTTGTTTATAGTAGATTGTGTTTTGGATAGTTCTCTCTACATCACATATTTAATGTCTGCATTTACATCTGCAAGATGTGTTTTTTAGAGTGTTTGCTCATCTGCAATATGTCTCTTAGACCATCTATCAGATGTAAAAATAGATGTTTATAAAAGTGAAGATGCTTGTTTTAGAATGTATGTAAATCTGCCTTTTTTCTAAGAAGTTTATCAGAAGTTTTTACACAGCAGATGTTTCCCAGATCAAGCACTCTTTAGCAGACATCTTAAATATGTACCTGTACAATCTGGGTAATAACGTTCTGTAATAGTGATTTATGTTTTTACATGAATTAGGTTTTGTGTTTTTATTCTAAAAATAATATAAAATTATGATATTTCGGAAAGGCTTGGAGCCAGAAATAGGCTATGACAAAAATATTGTGTAAATCTGAATAATTGTATTTCAACAAAACGGAATATTACATGGCATTTATATATATATATCTATATCTATATATATATATAATGGTTTAGTTTAATTACTTTGAATAATTTAATTATATTTGTGCACACATACCAAACATAGGTCAAAACATTGACAAATGTGGCTGAATTATAAAAGCCAGAAGTGGTACTAAATAAAGATCCGTTTGAAGCCGAAAGAGCCGGTTCTTTTTAATGAGCTGAGCCAAATGATCCGGATCCTTAAAAAGAGCCGGAATTCCCATCAAAATCAGCAGGTTCGGCGTGAGATTTGGACGTCAGCGTCACCGTTGCCCTGGTTACGGAGTCGCGCTCTTTTTCAAATGTGTTTTCCAGCTCGAGGCCGTTAAAGCGAAACGGTCATAAAACTCTGTTTAGTTATTTTAATCTCAATTCAAAAAGTCTGGAGGAGTTACTACTGAGAGAATCTGTCCATTTTTCTCTTATTATTATTATTGTCTTTTTAAGTCAGATTATTACGCACGTCCTCTGGCATGATAATGTTAATAATATCTTGTAGTGTGTGCATGCTTAATATGTGAGGGAAGAAAATCTGTGAAGATTCTCCTTATTTGTGCTGCACCCAGATTTCATAATCGGTTAGGATTTTAAAACTCCTGTAGTCTTTATTAACCACGATAACCAACTATTATCAGTTACACTATAATCAATTAATACAAATGATCAGTTACACTAATCAATTAATACAAATTATTGGTACAACATTTCTATTTTTGTTTTTAATAAGTTCATTTGAGAGGGAACGAAACATGACTGATACAGCTAAAAGGACATTCATTTATTTTTATACAAAAACCCCACACAGTACATTAAAAATAAAACCAGGCAGATTTAAAGCATGCTTTAAAGTGCTAGAGAACTTCAGCAGGACTCATAAGCTCAGTACCACGCATTACACACCGTAACGATCACAAACCCTGTTTAACATGTACAAGAAACAGCAGAACATTTGGTTACAGGCTCCCAAAACACACCTTCTGTGAAACAAGTGAACAAGTGCATTATTCCTCATCCAACACAACTAAATAAACCCTTCTGATGCTGAACATGTGAAAACAGAGTGAAAATCAATTCATATAGATGAAGCAAAAACAAACAGAAATGGTGGAACTCCTAAAAGATGCTCTCAGTTCTTCAGTCCTCTGATCTTACACACAAACACACTTGTTAAAATGATCACAAACATGTAAAAGCTCAATCTAATCATCTAAAGCGTTCAGAGAACACAAGTCTCCTTTTATGCGAAAACATTTGATTAGTGTGAGATTTTAATGACAAGGATAAAGAGGGAAATAATCCACAGAATAACACGCTATAATCAGGTAGTAGGACGCGTCCCAAACATGCTCCGACTTTAAGATGACGACATGTTTATATCCTCCGTATCCCACCGATCACAGCACAAGACTAGCGCGGCACAACTACAGAATAAACGACGAGATCCTCCTGCGATCAGAGGTAGTAGAGCCAGCAGAATCCCTCCGTCCAGTCCCTTTCTAGCCAGTCATCTGGTTAATGAAGCGGCGAGCCTGCCATTACTCAATATAAGGCCATGTTAGTCCCGTCAAGACGCTTGCCTTGACAATAATAGTGCATATGTACATTTAAAGTGTTCAGGTCTTGTCTCATAGGAATCGTATTTAGGTTCAGTTTGATTCGGATGCTACATTTGATTCAAAAGTGTTTAAATTAAATGTTTTCGTGTTTCACTCGATTACGAAAAAATCTCTAGCACACAATCACATCTACAAGCTGTTCTAGGACAGACTGATTTATTAGTTTTTATTTACTTTGAAACATTTCCATGTTTTGCAGGTGCTGCTACAATAACAAAAAAAAAGTGAGTGCACAATCATGTGGTGTTCAGTAGTGAATTCTTGTTTAAATCATATCGCTTGTGCATGTAAACGATGAAAAGTAATTAACAGTATCAGTGCTCCTTCTTCAGAAAGTGACGTGAGGCTTTGCATTAGATGTCAGTGTATTAAGGTGCCCTGCGTGAACCCTGATGGTCTTAAAATCCCGGTCGACTGATGTCACTGAAGGCACTCGAGATGGGCTTTGGCTCTTAAACCAGACTGACTTGTATATTAGGACAGCGCCACGCCACCGGCCGACCCACACGACGATCTACCGTTACGAGGAACTCAAGAGAAGGAGACGGAGTTAACAGAGCTAGCGGACACCTCACAGGTACGAGAGCCGCTTGGCCGTGATGAACTCCTCCAGATGAACCGCGCCGCCGCCCAGGAGCCCGAACGCAGGGAACATGGTGCCGGAGCAGTCCACCGGTCGCTCGTACACACAGCGCATGGTGTCTGCGTCGTAGAAGAACACGCGCGCGGCGTCATAGTCCAGACAGACTCCGATCCTCTGCGGCATGGGCAGGACTCGGCTGCTGTGGTCCCCTGCGGCGCTGGCGGACGCTTTGGGGATGAAGAGCCGGCCCATGCCCACGGTGAGCAGCGTGAAGGGCTGGGAAACCTCGAAACAGGCGTCTTCGCTGCCGCTGTCGTGACCGCTGTCGTGGTCGTACCTGACGGGAAGCAAAATGAAATTAAAATCCTTACCAAATATTAGCCAGAAACAGCTTGGTTACTCAACATACAGCAACCAGGACGTGTGTTAAAGCATCCACTCCAACGGACGATAGTATTCAGCTTATTATAAGCACGCTGCAAAACTGTCGCTTTAAGGCTCAAGCTCTTTAAAGTCAAGTGGATTCTGATTGGCTGTCAATGTCTGGAAGAAATACTCTGAGAGTCATTCAATATTCTTCCTCTGTGCCATTACAGTCGTGGTGTGAGAAGGACTGAGTTTCTGCAGGATTTTTTACATCAAATTTAAAGCTTTTTTAAGCCCTGCACAAACAAAATTAAAACCATATGAGCAAAGTACGGCAAAGTCTATGGTAACATCATTAAACCATAAAATGAATGTAAAAAGCATGATTTACAGTTCAGATACAGGTTTTCACAAAAACAAGCCCTTACACCATTTCTTTTTTTCTTAGAAATGGATGAGTCAAAAGTAGGAATTATAATATTGTAATATAGTGTCTTAATTGTTTAGATTTTTGATAATGCATCAGCTTCTTGTCCATCCACCTGTTCTCTTGTACAACTGCGTGTTTGCTGCATAAACATATTGTTGCTCTGAACAAACAGCAGACGGGCTTATTGAAAAACAAATGCTTTCTCTGACAGCAGGAGGTGCTTTAGGAACGGGAGAAACGGCTGTACAAAGAAAAACGCTACTTTATCAGTCATTATACTTAAGCAAGATGAAATGAAGACAGTCAGTTCCCTTCACAGATGCACTGATAGAAAAATAACCGCGCCGCGTTTTGACTGAAGTGTGCAGCGCTCGTATGACATTTAATCATCACATTAAGCCATACGGCCGTTCTTGTCTTTCTGTCCCCAAATTTAAGACCTCTTGAAATTATAATTAAGACTTTTTTTTTTTACCATTTAAGACTTTTATGGCCTTAAATGTGATACAACTAAATTTAGGACTTAAAACGTTTTAAGGTCCCGTGGAAACCCTGAATGAGAACGATTATCAAAACGTCTGCTAAATGACTAAATGTAAATGTGAACGTGTGTGTGTGAGAGAGTGTGTGTGTGAGTCTGAGAGTGTTAATGGCGTCCGTGAGAGATGCCCGTGTCGCCGATGATGTAGTCGAGACAGATGTAGCTCCCCGTCTGCACGCGCTCCGCAGCTAAGAGCAAACTCATCCCCGCCACGCTCTCCACAGAGTCCCTGCGTTTGCTCAGCTGCAGCCGCTCCGCACTGAACCCACACTTCTCGTTAAACATGAAGCCAAACACTGAGGAGCAGAGACACAGATCTCAATCCACAAGCATCTGACTCACTCAGCCTTTCATACACAGATTTACATCAACATTAGCAGGGTGAAAGAATCATTAATAACACGTATCCTGTAGTGATGGACGTGATTTTCTCCCCCAAATCAACTAAGCGCAAACCCCACAGATTCTAAAGATTTCATTGGTAATGTCAACCACAGTGCTGACTGCCTACACATTTACATTTACATTTAGTCATTTAGCAGACGCTTTTATCCAAAGCGACTTACAAATGAGGACAATGGAAGCAAACAAAATCAACAAAAGAGTAATGATATGCAAGTGCTATACTATACTATACAATAGGGCTGCACGAAATATCGCAATATCGACAATCATTCTCGTAAACGCAGTCGGTTATGTTTTAAATGAATGTAAACAGCTGAGAAAGAAATCGGATGTGTATCATTATACTGGATCCGTGCAGTCGCAAAACAAATTGGTCATATAATTTTCATTTTTAAATATTTTAAAATATAATTGAAATTGATTTTACACACTTTAAGCAATATCGTATCGCATATCGAATATCGCATTTTTCTTCAATATCGCACAGCCCTACTACACAACGCTGAAACAAACACGAACCCTAACCTGAACCTCAGGAGAACACCGACAGCACACTCTGATAGACAGGATTACTGTTTGCAGCCATCGGCTCCATTATTTATTTATATTTTTTTTTAAGTCTGAACTTTTCTTGACAGGTGGCTGTGAGATTGAGTTGACCAATGAAATCGTCTGCAGGGCGGGGTTTGCACTTACCTGCTTTGAGGAAAAATAAAAACCACACTAGTGGTGGTGAAATGAAGTTTCTTCTCTGGCCACCTGCTGGACAAAAAGAGTCCATCTCCAGTTACAGCAGCTGCTTCTACAACGGCTCCTTTGACAATTTTGAAGCAATAAAAGTCAAAGATATCAATATGTTTGGGTGTATCATTCAAAATTCATTCATACCAGGGGTCACAACCTTTTGGCCATGAAGTGCCATTTTTAACATTTCTGGCTGATCACTGTGCTACACACTGTCTGGCCAAAAAAACAAAAACAAAAAACGAGGTAGGTCTAAAAACTCATCAAATTTTACTGTAGTGCCTTTAGCTTTGATTACAGTGCGTGTTCATCACGGTATTTTTTCGTGTTCTGCGTATGTGTGTGTGAGTGAGTGAGTGTGTGTGAGAGTGTGAGTGAGTGTGTGTGTGAGTGAGTGAGTGAGTGAGTGAGTGAGTGAGTGAGT